ACCGTTGGTAACGTTTTGCCCGTCGGTGAGATGCCTGAAGGTACCATTGCCTCCAACGTCGAAGAAAAGTCTGGTGACCGTGGTGCTTTGGGTCGTTCCTCTGGTAACTATGTCATCATTGTTGGCCACGACGTTGACACTGGCAAGACCCGTGTCAAGTTGCCCTCTGGTTCTAAGAAGGTTGTCCCTTCTGCCGCTCGTGGTGTCGTCGGTATCATTGCCGGTGGTGGTCGTGTCGACAAGCCCTTGCTTAAGGCCGGTCGTGCTTATCACAAGTACAAGGTCAAGCGCAACTGCTGGCCCAAGACTCGTGGTGTTGCTATGAACCCCGTCGATCACCCTCATGGTGGTGGTAACCATCAACACGTTGGTCACTCTACCACTGTTCCCCGTGGATCCGTTCCTGGTCAAAAGGCTGGTCTTATTGCTGCCCGCAGAACTGGTCTCTTGCGTGGTGCTGCTGCTGTCGAGAACTAAGTTCTTCACCTCTTTTGTACTTTATTTTATTCCTAGGGTCTTTTCTAGTTCCATAGTCTTTCTCCAACCCAAGTCCGTAGCAATATCTATTCCTTTCAACATACTCTTTTTATGTTGACATACTTACTTCTCTTAGTCGTAATTGCAATTGTAAAACACTTATCCAGGTTATGAGATATGGAAATAATGTAGTAGGAAAAGATAATGCTGGAACGACCATACGGTGATTTTGACTTCAACCGTAGAACCTGAGTATCTGATTTATGAATGAGAAACTGTCAGATCTTGTCGCACTATCATTCTTTCTTTTATCCTTAAACGTAGACTGTCATAGAGCACTGTAGTTGATTTCTTTAAAATTCATTTCAATGCAGTACAAATATCTCTTTTCCTTACTACAAGGTTGAAAGTAAAAAAATAACCCAAAAAAGAACTCCCACTGCGAGACTCGAACTCGCAACCTTCCGGTTAAAAGCCGGACGCTCTAAGCCGATTGAGCTAAACGGGACTTGCTTGAACAGTAAAACTTTAAGCATATTATGAGCTACAACTTTCATAGAAAGAAATAAACATAAGAATATACACATAATTTTCTGAACTTTCGGTCTACATACTTACAAATTGCCCAAATAAACTACAATACATCTCATCACATTCATAAGGGTAAAATTATACATTGAAACTGACATTTTAGGACCCATTACGACCGAAATTTCATTACCTATCTGCGACGGTTGAAACGCTCTTGAGGAGCAGGAGCAAGGACGCGTACGGGAATTTGTTCGTAACCAAGAACCTTAAGCATGTCCTTGGTGTCTTGGTCAACGTTGACACGATCAATGTCAAGCTCAGAGACGTCAGGAACGTATTGGTCCTTGCGTTCACGCTCTTCTTCTTGGAGCTTGAAGGAGATACCACGGACGGGACCACGTTGGATACGTCTCATCAAATGAGTGGTGTAACCAGCAATCTTGTTACGAAGACGCTTGGAGGCAATGATGGCGACCTCATCAACAATTCTCTTGTTGGTTTGGAAGTCAAGAGTGAGACGAGGGTAGTACTTCTCAATGCACACACGGGAGGCTCTCTTGGTGGTTTTGGTACGCACGCGACCCTAAGCATTTGTTAGTAACAGGATTTTCCAGCATAATCATCAAAAGCAATCAAAAGAACGAGAATGTCAAAGAGTAATTGAAGTAAAGTTGGCCGGCAAATTGGTCGAACTTCACACGTCCCTTGGATACTGTTTCTTTGCATTATTTTTCGTTATCTCGTTCCTATCGAATGCAGCTTCTTACCATTTTAGAGAATTATTTGAGATGGAAGTGGTAGCGTTACAACACCAACAGCTTTCACTTTCAAACCGAAACTGTGACTGTCTTTTCTTCGAATAGGGTAGGGTTCATGTAAAGGTATCCAGCAGCGGTCTCTAAAGCGTAGGCGCATTCTAAAGAACAGCGACGACATAATAAAGCAATTCTTTGTTCGTATCCACCATCATTCCTGTTCAAGTTAGCCGTTGATGAACCAATTCGTAAAGACTGTAATCTAAGACAGTATATCAAATATCGTATTATGATTACCTTGTAATATAATATCTGTTCCCTGTAACAAAATGGGCAATGTGATGAAGAGATTCGTCAACAACAAACCTTTGGTCAAGTTGACGTTGAGGAAGCGTTGTAAGAGGAATCGCAAGAGTAAGGAAAAGTTGTCCGCACGGACAAAAGTACGAGTAGCCTTGTTTGGGAGAAGAGGAGTCGGTCATTGGGGAAACGTCAAATGGAAAGACAAAAAAAACTTTTTCTGGGTTCACAATAAAGTAAAAACGATACTGAAGACTTAGGAAACAGGTCGCTAATGTAGAAAACAAAGACAATGAAATCGTAAACAAAAATATTGTCAAGAGTGGAATAGGATGGTCAAGGATATGATGAAAGTAAACGAAGACGAAACAACAACAAAAATTAAAATTTATTAAAATAAAAGAAAAGAAAAGAAAAGAATAATTAAATAAATCCTACGGAAATGAAGAATAAAACTTTTATGCGGAAAAAATACAAATCGTAAGAATGTAGAAAATTGTTTTCCTTGTAGAGGATATTCCTTGTATGCGTGAAAAAAAAAAGGAATTCACTGTATATGATTTCTTTTTTCTGTTTATTAAGGAATTGACTGGATTTATCTTTTAATTGGGTCCATATGAAACTTGTTTGTATAATGGTAAACACCGAATAGGATGTTATGACAATAGGATCAAGAAGTCAATGTTTCCAAGAGATATTTTTCTCTTTTTAAATTTTTGCAAGATCAATGAGAGGTTCATTTCATTTCAGGAGGAAGACCAAGTTTTCTTATGGTTCGCATATGTTTGGTAACTAGGAAATACCAATTGTGAAGGGTTCATGAATCATGTTTAGACATGCGATCATTTTGTTTACTTTTTAGTTTCGTAATAAAAAATGGTTTTGCTAAATGAATGGCGTGAAAGTTAATCCATACTATATGTAGGATCAAAAAAAATAAAAAAGTAACGGATCAATATAAAAGAAACATCCTTTTGCTGGATAAACGAAAAAAAAGAGTAAAATACGGCGTCACCTTTTATGCAACCAGGTAATATTTCAGGAGCTTGTAAACAAGGAGCAAATCAATATTCAGTCATTCGGTAATCCGTCATTTTTATGAGCATGCATGCTGACATCAACGACAAGTTGGAGAAAGCAAGTAGCGTCCATACAAAGAAATCAATCAGAGTCAATCAATCCCAATTAAGCCCTTCCCTTGAGAGGACAATTTCTTCAGACAAAATTTCCCATAAAAACTTATACTTGTCTCAACTTCCATCCATACTTACAAATAGTATGTTTCTGTTTATTTATAGAAATTACTACACCTTGGAGACTTCCATTCTATCGATCTTCTTTGTCGCTACTGTTTATTTACCTTTTGCGATTTTCAAGTGAGATCATACAAAGTCTGTTTATAAAATCATCACTTAAAACATAAAGCTTAGAATAATTTAATGTTATCAAAAATATAACAACAAAGAATCGACACTCCGCCGCTTAGTTATTAATAATAAGGTGAGAGAAATTTTCTTTAAAGAAATTGGCACATCGAAACAGAGTAAACTTAGTAAAGCTTCAATTGCATTACAAAGAATAATAAATCCGAAAAATGTCTGGCAAAAACAAGTTCTCCAACGACTTCGATTGTTGAGTTAATAATCTTGCTCATCCATACTCCAACTTTCAGGCTTTCTATTTATTTCATCGTTAACTTAATTTTTTACGATTACTCTTTTCTTCTTCCATCTCCTATGCTCTTGACATCTTTGTTTATGTTTGCCTCCTTCCTCTAGCCGTGACCTTATAGCCAATTCGCAGCTTCGTTAGCTGACATCATTATTGTATAACCTTCGTTCGCTAACGAAACTTGATACCTCATTTCCCACACTTTTGACAGCACATAATAGCCGAATGGTTGTATGCGTCAAGAATAGCTAACAGTTGTATTCTTTCCTTGTCATGCTTTATACTTTTCTTACCTGGAACGCAATTGTTCCCTCTTTTTTTTTTGGGCAAAATACCTAATTTTCAATAAAAAAAAACACCGTTGCTTTGTCTTTTAAGATTTCACACTTCTTCTCAGAATTTGCACGTGCCTCGCCAAACGTAACCCAATTTTGAGCTAAAGTTAATTTCAAAGTATTCTTTTCTGCTTGTTGATATTTCTTTCATTGAACAAGCTGTTTTCTTCATAGTATTTTCACTTACGAATTTTAATTTCTCTTGAAAAACTGACCACAATACTTTCTCATCGTGTGCTTCGAATTCTAGGCTACTGTTGATTTTCTCTATATTTACATTTTCTGCAAATGCCGACGCTTAAAAACCCCATCCACTTTTCCAGTATTCAGGATGCTGAGGTACAATTAGAAACAAATATTCAATCTGGTCTTTCTGTTCAAAGCGCCCATGAGCGCATATCTGAATACGGCGAAAACCGTCTCGAAAGCGATGCAGGAGTCTCCGCATGGAAAATATTTCTTCGGCAAGTATCAAATGCAATGTGTGTAGTCCTTATCCTTGCTGCAGCCCTTTCCTTTGGTACAACTGATTGGATTGAGGGTGGTGTCATATCCGCCATCATCGTCCTCAACATTGTCATAGGCTTTTTTCAGGAATACAATGCGGAAAAAACTATGGACTCACTTCGTTCTCTCGCCTCCCCTATGGCACATGTCGTACGTGATGGCAAAAGCGAAACCATTGAATCTCGTTTGCTGGTACCCGGTGATATCGCTACCCTTAAGACTGGAGACGTCGTTCCTGCTGATCTCCGTCTTGTTGAAACCATCAACTTTGAAACGGATGAAGCGCTTCTTACCGGTGAATCCCTTCCTGTCATCAAAAACGCTCAAGTCGTTTTTGACATGAACGGGGACGTTCCCATTGGAGACCGCATCAATCTTGCTTACTCCTCATCTGTTGTCACCAAAGGTCGCGCAACTGGCATTTGTTATGCTACCGGTATGAGTACTGAAATTGGTGGAATTGCAGCTAGTCTGCGTCAATCAAATCCAATTCTTTCTCAAAAGCCTGACCCAGATGAAGAAAATTACAGAAAAAATCTCCGAAATTATCGTTTCCAGGTTTTTCTTTATTATCTTAAACGCATTCTCGGTCTCAATGTTGGTACTCCTCTTCAGCAAAAGCTTACTGTCCTTGCCTATGTGTTGTTTATTATCGCCATTGTTCTTGCCATTGTAGTAATGGCAGCTCATACTTTTCATGTTTCTAATGAAGTCTCTATTTATGCTATTTCACTAGGTATTTGCATCATTCCAGAATCCTTGATAGCCGTTCTTTCGATCACAATGGCTAAGGGCCAAAGAAATATGTCTAATCGTCGCGTAATTGTTCGTAAACTAGAAGCCCTTGAAGCTTTAGGTGGAGTCACCGACATTTGCTCTGACAAAACCGGTACCATCACTCAAGGAAAAATGATTACTCGTCGTGTATGGATCCCATCCTTTGGATTTCTTGTAATTGAAACTTCCAGTCCCTTTGATCCAACAATAGGTACCGTTTCTATCATTCATCAGCCGATGGAGGCAAGTACGAACGTCGAGAATCAGAAGCCTCAAGAGATGCAACCCTTACATGCTTTTGAAGAGTTAATTCCAGCTCTCAAAATTTCCTCTCTTTGCAATCTATCTTCTGTTCAAAAGAACCAAGAAGGAGATTGGGTCGCAAAGGGTGAACCCACTGAAATTGCTCTTCACGTTTTTTCTTCTCGCTTCAATTGTGGAAAAGAAGAGCTTTTAAAAGAGCACAGGCCCTTACGTGAATATCCTTTTGATTCTGAGCTTAAACGTATGGCCGTTGTCTATCAAGAGAAGGAAGGCAAGCCTGAGGTGTATGCCAAAGGTGCCGTCGAGCGTGTTTTGGATCGTTGTGAAACCATTGGGGGTCTACCCTTGGATAATGAAAAGCGAAACCTTGCATTGGCACAAATGGAAACGCTTGCGTCCCAAGGGCTTCGAGTTTTGGCTTTGGCGAAAAAATCAATCGAAAATTTGGGTGATTGGGAAAAGGTTCCTAGAGAAGATGTTGAGTCCAACTTGGATTTCATAGCACTTGTTGGAATCTATGATCCTCCTCGCATTGAATCTAAAGGCGCCGTTAAGCTCTGTCATCGTGCCGGTATTCGCGTACACATGCTTACAGGTGATCATCCTGAAACGGCAAAGGCCATTGCCAAAGAAGTGGGTATTATTCCACCATTCATTTCAGATCGAGACCCGAACATGTCATGGATGGTCATGACAGGTCCGCAATTTGATGCTCTATCCGACCAAGAAGTAGACCATATGAAAGGTCTTTGCTTGGTCATTGCGAGATGTGCACCGCAAACTAAAGTGAAAATGATTCATTCTTTGCATCGTAGAGGAGCTTTCGTTGCTATGACTGGTGATGGTGTCAATGATTCCCCTTCTTTAAAGCAAGCCGACGTGGGTATTGCGATGGGATTGAATGGAAGCGATGTTGCTAAAGACGTTAGTGATATTGTCTTGACTGATGATAATTTTTCGTCAATTGTGAATGCTATTGAAGAGGGTCGTAGAATCTTTGACAATATTATGAAGTTTGTTTTGCACCTTTTAATTTCAAACGTCGGCGAAGCGATCCTTTTGGTCGTTGGTCTTGCATTTCGTGATATCCACCATTTGTCGGTTTTCCCAATGTCTCCTGTAGAAATTCTGTGGTGCAATATGATTACGTCTTCCTTTCCTTCTATGGGCCTTGGTATGGAGAAAGCTCAACCAGATGTAATGGAACGTCTTCCTCATGATAACAAAGTAGGAGTTTTTACGAAAGGTCTGATTTGCGATATGATATCTTATGGGTTTTTTCTTGGTGTCGTGTCATTGATGACCTGGGTTGTTATTGTTTATGCTTTTGGAACCGGAAGTTTGGGCTATGATTGCAATTCCTATTACCATGATGGCTGCAGAGAAGTATTTCGTGCCCGTTCTGCTGTTTTCTCTGTAGTAACATTTTCCGTTTTGATTATGGGTTTTGAAGTAAAAAACTTTGACAATTCACTTTTTAATTTAGATGGGATCCCTTGGAGTGAATGGAACTTTCGCTATTTTTTTAAAAAGCTGACCGAAAACAGATTTCTCGCAAGCTCTATTGTCTTAGCCTTTGCATCAGTTTTTCCAACAATCTATATTCCTGTCATTAACAGCGATGTATTCAAACATAGACCTATTGGATGGGAATGGGGTGTTGTTGCTGTTGCAGTAATCCTTTTCTTTATTTATGCAGAGTTATGGAAATTCATTCGACGCACTTTAAGCAACCCACTTGCTAAAGGCAGGTTAAGAAGGACCCTAAGTCGAACAATTACTTCAGAATCAAAATTATCAGAAGCCGATTTAGAAAAGAGACTCTTTTTACAATCCCGGACTAAATAATGAGTATGAATCTATACGAAATTTACAAAATCATCCTCCCCATTGGAAGCACTCTTTCTCAGTACCGTTCACTCATTACCAGTTCCTTATTTATTGATTCTTATTGAATTTTGTTTTCTTCTCAATATTCTTTTTCATTTGGATTAACCCTATTGGATTATTTATTCGCTTTTATTTATGGGACCCTCTTTTACCACACAAGACTGACAAAAAGGATATAATAGCGATTGAAACACAGTTTTCTTTTATGTTAAAAACCCATACAACGTGAAAACAAATAAAAGCACATTGCATCTCTAGGAAGTGTCTTTCTTTTTCTACTTACATAACTCATCATATTAATCATATATAATATTCGATAGAGGAAACATCGTTACCTGTTTTCATCTTTCCCAGAAATCAACTTCTCCTCTCCCACTACGTCTCAATTTTTTTACTTTGCGTTAATTTCATTAGAAAGATGAGTTCTTTAAATTACATTTCTCCTGAAAGTTTAAAAGATCTGTTAGCAGGAGACCGGGAGAAAATTTCCGTAATTGATGTTCGTGATGATGATTATGAAGGTGGACATATTCCTGGATCCATTAATATTCCATCAAAGCAATTTCTCACTTTAGTGGACGAGTATGTCGAGCAACTTTTACAGCAAAAGGATATCGTTTTACATTGCACTTACTCCCAAATCCGTGGACCCAAAGCTGCTAGAATTCTTTATGAAACTTTGCGTTATAGAGCTCAGAATCTTTGCTCTGCTAAGAATTTACCTGTAGATGAAAAAGAACAGTTTTTCCTAAGGTTGCCTTCTATCTATATTCTCCATGGCGGATTTCTTGCATGGAAGTCTCGCTATGGAGAAATCCCAAACATGATTGAGTAACTCACATAAAATTCTTTTTTTTCTTTGCTTAAGCAGCTTTAAATGTTCTTTCTCTTCTTACTTATCGTTTCGATTTCCACACATTCGTTCTTTGTTAATTCATAATTCGTCCGTACACTCATAATCAACCTATTACTATTATTCATTCTTTTCTTATCCGATAAAAATATGATTATATTACGTTCGTGAATAATAAAAATAAATAACCGCATTCCTTCATCAGTTAGCTTTGATTTTTCCGTAACAATGATATGAGACTCGTGCTGAAAGTATAGCACCTGCATGCTCTAAAATACTTATAAACAGAATTAACAAATTACTAATGCAGAAGTGACTAATACTTATTCCAATCTAAAAGAAATTAGTTAATTGTCTCAACATGAGGTATACACATACGTCTTGCCATGATCCTTCATCTTTCACAAGATAAAAAAAGTTAATTGTAACAAAGTCTGCCATAGCAATCGCCATGAAAAAAGTAATCCGTTGAATGCCTCCTAATCTCTTGTTCATTATTCCGAAGGCAGCAGAAAGCGCGACGAAGGGGATAATAATTATATAAATTAATAGAGCACCTTGCATCACCTAAGAAAAAAAAAAGTTAGTATAGTTTACACAATATAAGTTTCTACACTCGCACTTACTGGGTTAAAGACAGGAATCAATCGCTTGACCGAGTCAAGCGCAAAGGAAGATAGAGATGCTATGTTGCCAGTTCCAAAAAAGGCAATATTTATAAAAATGTAAAAAAATAGGGAAACCCTGAAGTGAGAGATTGTTAAGCCAAGCTTGCTTTTAACCTTTTTACCATTGTTGTCCATAGTCAGCTTCATATGTTCTTGAAGTTTCGCTTCCACCTGTATCCATAACCCAATAGTTAAGAAAAAAGCTACGTAAAACAAGGCTTCAAATGATATTGACAACATACACATTGTCGGAGCAAACATTAAAAACAAGACTGCTAATCGATCTAAATAGTAATGATTGCACGCCTTTACTTTTGACAAGGGTACAACATAAGAAGCAATCAATAAGAAAAAAGCAAACATCCGTAGCCATGGCGATACGGACACATTTCTTTGTAAAGAATCTGTCAATTTTAATGTCACGATAAATGACATAATTAAAATTAGTATTTGAAACGAGAGGTGAGAATTCTTCACTGTCGAATTCAAATGATAAATTTGTCTTTTCCGATAGACAGTATATGAACCTCCTACAGTAATCATTACTAAACCTCCCAAGAAAATCAACGGCAAGGACTCTTTTTTAGTTGCGGGTAATAAAGTAAAAAAACATAATGAAATGTTTAGAAATGACCACGTGCTGGCTAAAGATTTATGAAGTAAACAAAAGTCAGTATGAAGGAACCAAGGCCAAGCGGCAAAGATAATTAAGAATACTGAGAATCCTTCACGATGGAAATAACTGTATACCACGAATTGGAGTAGTCCGAAGATATACAAGGCAATGGATATTAAGTTATACACAGAAAATCCACTGCTTATCCTTTCGTCCTCTATGAATTTTCTGTAACCCATCTTGACATTAGGAAAGTCGGAATATATAAGTTGCACGAAGATGGTCGGGAACAACGCATATGCGTAATAAAATAACGGGCTTGATTGATGGTAAAAGAATGAAGATAAAATTAAAAACGGGAAGTTGAAGATAACCCTCTGGAAAATGGATATAGGATTTTTCTGTTTCATATCAGGATGCGTGTTGTTACTAAAAACAAAGGATATCACATAGCTGATCCAAGAAAGGTAGCCGATGAGTACTATCGATCGCAAAAGAAACCAATCATACCGCTGAAGATATCTGAGACCCTGTAAAGCGGTTTCTGAAAACTCTAGGCTTGCAAGGATCCCTTCCTTGAAGTTGTTTCTTTGTATATGATTTTCCACTAGATCTAGAATATGTTGTTTCGAATTTGCATAATCTTTCAGAGGAGGGTAGGGTCGAAAATGGAAACTGCTTTTAGCCTTCAGGAAAGCCTTACGATTGTACTGTTCACCGATTGCTAGAGCATTCATTAATGAAATTTCAGCCTTTCTCTTCGTAGTACAATTTAAAAAATCTAAGGGAATCTGACCCACAGAGTTGACGGGAAAATTAGCGCCAACTAAGTATGACATGAGGGCTGCAACGTCAGCTTGTCTAATATCAACACGCTTCACACTTGACAAATCCCAAGGAGCAGAATATTCATCGTGACCTACGCCTTTCTCATAAGTGGGACCAGAAAGACCAGCACCCCAAGCAATAATTGGCGTCCGAGTATTTTCTGGAGCACCGTCTCCATGACTTCCATAATCGCTCATCCCATGATCGGCTGTAAATACCCAAGCAGATGCATTGTCATCCTCGTAATAACGATTGACTTTTTCTACGAGATCCTTTATTCCTTGATCAATATACTGGATGTTTTGCATGTAATCAATTGAATCGGGATGTTTATTATGTCCAATGGTATCGATTCCCAAAAGATGCAAAAAGAAAACTAATTTATCCTGATGAAGTAGATCCCATAGTTTACGATCTTTATATGAATCCTCGAAAAGCTGATCGACTTTATCAAATACCCATTCATCTGTCACAATCCCGCTACTGGAAAAGTCCTCAAGTTCAGGACCATACATAAACGTGTCTACACGAGCAGGATCCGAAGCTCCTTCCGAAAACATAGGAAGAATGTCCTCGGAACCAAACGAAAATGTATGACGACTTTGATTAAATACAGAGTCAAAGTTTACAGGATTCGTCTTCCAGCCCTTAGTGACAGCTGAGACATCCTCATAAAATCCAGCAATCAATGCAACATGGCCAGGACGAGATTCAGTCGGAACGCGTGTGTGAGAAATTCCAAACGTGCCATTATTCAAAACAATGGATCGTAAGAACGGTGCAGCGTACGTCTGGCCCTTTCCGACGATACTTTCAGAATGGGGTTGGAAGAGTTTATCTGGGCGCAATCCATCACCTAAACAACATAAAATGTAAGTAAAAAAATAAAATAGAAATTTAAAGAAAAAGATACGCTGCTTCAGCACGGAATGAGGTAAAATTACCACACCAATTTCACTACACATAACCATTCTGTAACGTCCTTACGTACCGACAATCAGAAAAAGACGATTTGCGGGTGGCTGCCCAGCTGCATACTGGCCCATTCCATGAGCCAAGGGTGTCACAAAGTAGATATCAAATATGGACTTCACGTAAACAAGATGGAACAGAATCCCAAGGATTAAAAGTCGGCCAAACATGTTAAGAGGTCTAGCGTGAACAATTCCACCAGATTTTACTCTTCAATTCTATGAATTACGATAATTACCGCTCAGCAGCGGCTACAGTGTTGTGTTCAAGAGAAGTTTGTTTTGGTGCCGAAATGCCTTGTGGGTAACAGAACAAAGAAGCAACAAAGATAGTAACCTCGATTAAATACATACATCGCTTACAAAATTAGAGTAGGTAAACAAAACGAAATCGTCTTTACCGGTTTAGTGAAGTCGGCTGTGTTGTCTTATTATTTTAAGGAATATCTGAGTTAAACACGTACATTAAATTCATGAAATGAATTGGAAATTAACAAATATTACAAAAAGAGGCTTTGAAGCTGTTAAAGGGACTTGGGAACTCTTGTGTAAAAAGCAGCTTTCACACTTCTTTTTCCTTCGTCTTCGTAAGGAAGGGTTTCTCCTTCGAATCGTTTTTTTTTCAACAAGAATTAGACTCACCCAAATACACTCACGGACAGTTTCCTTTGAAACTCTAAATCGGAATAAGATATGTATATGTATGTAAGAGGGGAGGCATCAAAAGGGTAATGAAAATTAGCATCCCAATTAAAAAAAAGTTTAGCTTTTTCTGTTTCCCAAAAAAAAGGGGGTATGCGTGTAAGCAAGACAAGACCAGATCACTGAATTATCAGATCAGCTATCATGCGGGCCTCTTTGGAAATGCTTATTCTTAATATCCCCAGCGTCTCATATTTTTTGCCAAATTTACAAGTCGTATAATACCGGCACGAAACTTTGCTCGGTGAGCTTCCGAGCGGAGACGAGAACGTTTTTCACTGGGTTTTTCGTAAAATCGTTGGTTTTTAAATTGTCGAGGAACATTGTTTCTCATACAAATACGATCCACCTGACGAAAGGCCTTGGTAAGACTATTCCCTACCGTGACACACGCGCCTAAATCTTTCGTTTCTGCAGCAGGAACCATTCGATTCAGACTCACTTGCATTCTTTCAGCGTCTTCTACACAAATTGTCAGTGCCGTTCTTCCCTACCCAATCATAACAGCAGATTTCTCATAAACAGAACAATTCCAGCAAAAACAAACCACATACCTTGTTGTCTCTTAAATTCCCTTTCATTATACGAAAAACGCGTCCGACCGCTCACAGAATCCATTAAATAGCCCGACCATTTCATATTTTATAGTAGAACTCTTGGTGAGTGCAAACGGCAAGAGGAGTCCTTTGTGTTCAAAATGCAGACGTGCTATGATGCAGTATATCGAATTAAGCAAAAATGTGTAATACGTTAAATATATTGAGGATATTGTATAAAATGTGTGAAGTTTGATTAAGGAGCAACCAACGACACTTAGTGAGCTCTTCTTATTGTTGACAAACGCGTAAGAACCTAACTCTTCTCCAATATCATGCAGAGGCAGAATCAACGTAAGAATTACTTTGGATTTTTTTTTTTTATGAATATTAACATATTTTAGCTTCTGTTGGGTTACCTCCAGGGCAACAGGTCCCTGCTATGAGTAATGGCATTCCATACGCGATTCCTGTCCAACCTGCCTTCGCACCCTTGCCAGCCGGGTTTCAAGGGACATATAGTAAATTATATGGATCTGCGAATTCTATTTTTGCAGCAGCTACACCAGATGCTGCTACTCCTTTCGACTTTTCTCAACCAGTACTGAAATTTGGTCATTTACCAAGAAAAGCTCAAGGAAAAAGTGGTACTCATGCTTTAAGAGAAGATCAACAGGGAATGCAAAAGAATCAAAGGGTTACTGGGCATGAAGAGAAAAGAAATCCATCTACCTCCGTAAATGAGAGAGTCAGTACTGAAAAGGAATCACGTCCTTTCGTCCCCCCAAACACTCAGCAGCTTCGAAGAACGCTGGTTTTGGGGGACATTCCAAGCGAAATAAATGATTTTTGGATTGATAAAATTTTACGATTGTCCGGCAAGCTGGCTTGCTGGCGTCGTGTCACGAATGCTGAAGGAGAGCAAACCTCTTATGGATTTGCCGAATTTGAATCGAATGAGCAATTTAGCAGAGCTTTGGAAGCTTTGCAAGACTTTGCTCTTCCTTCTCTGGAAGAAGGAAAGCCCTCTACGAAATTTACCATTTTCACGGAAAAGGAGAATGAGCAATTGTATCAGGAATGGAAGCAAAATCGCTATAAGAACAAGCAAAAAGAAACTTTAGCCCTTCAACAAATCCATGCTAATCTCGAAAGAATCAGTCAAGATATTGGTAATAAAGAAGTACGAACCCGGATTGAGAATGCTGCTCGGCAGGCCCGAGAAAAATCCGAACAATCTCTTGAGGAAAGCCGAAAGCTTGAAATTCCCATCAACTCTGCCGATTTAGAAGGAATTAATCCTGATCTCCTTCCTGTCATAGAAGAGGAAATTCGCTCCTTCCGCGACCGCTCGGCTTTACGAAAGCGCGAGAAACAGCGAGCAAGAGATGAGTACGCAAGGCTCTATCGCGAATTTAAGCAACAGGAAAGAAGAGAATTCCGTAAAAAGAATGAGGAGCTTCAAGAGTTATTATATAAGCATCGTGTTTCTCGCCTTCCTCGATCGGTCGTTGAATCCCATTTAAAATATGAAGCCAGCATTCCTGACACAGTATCCGATGAACAAGTTTATGCCAAGGAAAGGAGCAAAAAGGAAGATTTAGAAATAGATGCTTACTATTCTAGAGAACGACGTTGGTTAAACCGTGAGAAAGCTAGAGCCGCAGCATTGGAACGGGAAGCCGCAAGGGAACGCGAAAACCGAGTCGCCTTTACCTCCTTAAAATCTTATATGTCTGAAAAACTTGCGTCTTTCGACGATGAGGAAGAGGCAAAGGTTTCTCATGATGAATACTTCGTAGACCGTGCAGCATGGATTCGTCATAGAGCTGTTGCCAAAGCTCGAGAAGAAGATGCTGATGCAGCTGATCGACAAGAGGAAGAAGCTCATGCTCGTCATGAACCAGTCGATGAAAGGGAACAACCAGCGTATGGTGCTACTGCTGTTACCAGTGAAATGCCAGAGCATGGTGGATTCAAGATGAGATTACAACCTAAAAAAGTCACAGATCAACCAACTAAACGTGAAATTGGTCTTCCTGAAAGGATGTTATTGGAAGAAGAGGATATCGATGAGCAAGTTGAGCAGCATGGTGCTGAACGGCCTATGCTGGAAGAAAATGAAGCTGAAAGAGCACATAGACTTCGTACATTGATTGAAAAGATTCCTGCAGAAAGGGAAGCTCTTTGGTCTTATCCAGTTGATTGGAGTAAAGTAACAGAGGTATGTAGTAAATGGAAACGAAAAGGGAAGTTGGTTATTAACGGCTATTATAGGATCTCCTTATGGATGAGATGCAAAAGTTTGTTACCAAAAAAATTATTGAGTATATCGGAATTCAAGAAGACTCTTTAATTACCTTTACAGTAGAACACATACGACAACAAAAAGATGCAAGGTCTCTTGCAGAAGAATTGGAAATGGCATTGGACGAGGATGCTGCCGAATTTGCTAGTAAAGTCTATCGGTACTTGCATGTACTTTTAATTTTACGGACTGGAGCTTCACAGTAATTAATGTTCTGATCTAGACGAAATGAATCCAAGTATTATTTATAGTTAAACGAAGGATGTTATAAATAAATATAGAAATGAAGATGACTATTTTGCTTTTCTCTCTTTAGAGTTGTTTTTAGCTGTGATCTTCAAAAAGGCTTCTGTAGAGATTCCTAAGAAAACAAGTGCAATGCCAGCCCATTGAAGCAAAGAAACGGAATGGTGGAAATAAGCAATACTAAGAAGCATTGTAAAGATCTTCCGTGTCAACGTAATTGTCACCAATGTGATACTACCAAATTTCTCTAGGGTGTAAAATATAAACAATTGACCAACAGATCCAGTACAAGCAAACAATACAATGTCACGTATCAGGGAAGGATGAGCTTGTAAAAATGCCAAAGCTTCTTGCTGATTTGAAAAAGGCGATATAAAGTATAATGCATTTAGGCAAGTAATGCCCAGATTGACAGCGATCATCATAGTGGTGCTCGAAACCTTGTATTTACCGAAAACTTTGTCTTGAGTGGTGTTTGTAATCCCGTCCATGAATAAATTGAAGAACAAGAGAAGCAAGCCGAATAGACTGTCATTTTCTGCATGCTTACTTTTCGAACCAGCGCTTTGAAAGTAGCTAAATACAGTGACACCGGAGGTAATCAAAGAGACGATTAGGTACTTATGAGGGGGAAATCTTCGTTTGTATAACAACACGTGGAGAGCTATAACGGGCAAGAGTTTGCACGACTTTCCAAGGATGACCGTTGGGTATGATAAATGAAACATACTGGCATACCCAAAATAGGAGCTCAAACTCGACGAAAGAGCAATGCTAGAAAAATAGCCAAGGAACTTGGGTTCAGTCAAGCCTTTTGTTCGTACACCATGCAACCAATTCCAGACAAACCCGCACAAAACCGTTGTCAAAGACTGAGCCAGTGTAAGCAAAACTGGACAGCGAAATCGTTCTCCATCATAGGTTCGAGTGATAATCTTCTCTTGCATGACAGCCCATGAAAGGAAGGATCCATAAATACCAATCATGCATAAGAGCAATTGTGTAAGAGAGCCAGACATGCTGCTACTAATTGACAACGAGCTGAGTGAGGGGAAAAAACCTAAGAAATGACAAACAATCAAGTACCTTTTAAAAGAATTTCAACGAATTTTCATAGCACCATGTGTGCCTAATTTAACCAAACGCAAAACTTTTCCAAAATAAGTAAAACACACTTAAAAAAAGCTGCTTTTGATATAAAATCAAGGATTTGTTCACGGAATATTTGTTTTTAACGGTTTTTCAGCCTAAAGAGGAATGCTTCTGAGGTTATGCTTTTCGTACCACCACCATTGTCTCCAAGTGCAAAACACCGTTCGTTGAGGGTCACAAAAATCTTATAGCTATAAAACCAAAATTTTATCCTTTAAAAATAAAGACGGAAAACAAATTCCATTAGAAACTCCTTGAAGGTCAAAATAGGAGTTGAGATCCCATCCAAATACTTTGTTTCTCCTTTTCTATGTTAGCTGTCTACTGAAATCCAGCACCATACGTGGATTGCGCGTACCAAGTTTGAAAGAAAAAGTTGGAACGCTTACCGTTGATAGTTTGTTGCGATTTTCTAGTGGAAACAAGAGCTGGTGAGAGAGTTTGTTTCGTGGGTGACGAGCACAATTAAGAGAAAAAGTCTATAAAAGACTTTTTGCTAGTTTTATTTCAAAGGGAAACCTGGTTTTAGCCAGTTGGATAGGCTTTTTTACTGTATAGCATATCGTTTCCAAGAACATGCGTCGCGGTGCTCGTGGAAATGTGAACCTGGGAGGTATGACTTGGCAGGAAGTGCTGGAGTTTAATGCTCGCACAGGTCCTACAAAGCTGTATCCTGATCGAGATCTCCCTATTCAACGATCAATTCGTCCTCAAGAGTTACTAGAGATTCGGTTTCTTAACGAAATTCGAAACTCGTTTGTCCAAGAAAGTGCATTTTATATTAGACGTGAGAAAGCAAATACAACCCCAGTGAACGATGATGGACTTGTACGATACAGTGATCGGAATAAACCTAAACGAAAGAACGAAAACCTGCGACTCAGCGATTTAGATCTGGACCCAAAGTATTTTCCTGAAGAACTCCGCAAGACGTTAGGAGCCGAAAGTGGAATTAAGAAGAGAGCTAGACGGAAGTTGGATATGAAGACGTTCATCGATTTCACCATTAATACCGAAGATTTGAAGGACGACGCTCCTGAAGCCGCCGATGCTACCAACGAAGAAGTGCCTGAAGAGGTAGAAGATGAAGATGAAGACTTTGGCGATGATGATGAAAACGACTATGGTGAAAATTACTTTGATAACGGTGAAGGAGATGACTTTGAGGATTATGAAGGAGACGAAGGCGGCGTCTTTGATTAGGTCATTGTCGTCGATTTCTCTTCTTAATAACGCTTCCTTCCATTATAGTTTTATTTTTGTCTTTGATTTTGGTTGATTCATGGAAAGTTTGGATATCTGCATTCGAAGTTCGGGTAATGGTTGTTTCAATACACTAGGTAAATGGAAAACCCACTGGGACAGTTGGTTAAAAAATGTATATAATAAAAAAATTTGATTCCATTTCATCTTAGAATGTCTGCAAATATTCATTTCACTACGACCTTACGATTGACAACATAAAAAAGTAGACAAAAAGGAAATAATTAGTAAGGAAAGGACTTTTCATATCTAAACTTCAAAAAACCACTTTAATAGCCGTATTCGGAAAGCTTTTGATTAATGGTGGAAGCAGACTTGGCAGCAGTAACCTTCTTTTGCTTGGCGAGCTTGGCTTGATAGAAAGCAGCGCTTTTCACCTTTCTGCGTTCTTCCAACTTGGAGACAACGTCAGAGTACTTCCAACCAACCTCAGAGGAGAGACGACCAACAGTGCAGTACTTACGGCCAGGCTTAAGGCGTAAGACACGAAGGGCAGCAGGGACGACAACACGCTTTTGCTTATCGAAGGGAGGAGGAACACCCTCAACAGCTTGCAAGTGTTCCAAGGCAGCTTGACCACGGGGGCTCTTGTGGGGAAGCATACCACGAACAGCCTTTTGGAAGATGCGAGAGGGAGCACGGAAGTGGAAAGCACCACGAGTAGGGTTGTAACGGCAAGACTTGCGCAAGTAGGCGAGGTACTTGAGCTTGTTACGGAAGAAGCTACCAGAAATGTTCAATTCCTCGCAACGAACAACTACAACCTTTTGTCCGCCCAAAAGCTGCTTAGCGACAACGGAGGCCAAACGACCAAGAAGATGTCTAAATGAGGTTAATAAATGCCTTTTTTTTTATGTTCTTTCTTACCCCTTGGCGTCTATAACGACAACTTTTTGAAATTCAGACATATTGGCGGTCTCTGTTGATGCTTACCATTTCCAAGAATTTTGGTGTCGGTTTGTGACGGCTGGATGGACCCTACCCTAATAGACTATTATAACGAACGCCAGCGTACTATTTTAGTAAACACTAAGATAGAGACAAAACAAAGAGCCATAAATAAAGTACTATTTGTATAATAAATCAAACACTGCTATCATCCTTTTAATTTGCAATCTCAAAAGCGACAACAGTAGTCGAGCTACCTTTCCTTCCTTGGAATTCAAAAACAGGGACTGGTACGGTAGAATGAATGCGGAATCCCTTTTTTACGAAACGTTCCGACAATTCCTCTAGCGTCCAATTACAGCTGGTAATTAAAAACAACCCTTTGGGTGACAGCATCTCATGTATACGATCCACATACACCTGGTTGAGAGGACTTCCATTCAAGGTCTCTGTACTAAGAGAAATGGCGTCAAAGGTTCCTTTATCTAAAATAAGATCCCATGTTCCATCACAGAATCGCAAATCTTTGATAATGTCATACTGCTCAAATCCAACCCGTTCTTGAAAACCGTGTGCTTCTGCTAATTTTTTCGCAAGTTCTACCCCCTTCTCACTATAGTCGACGCCAAGCAGAACGCAAGGCTGAGGAAGTAGACTGTCAGCCTCTTCAGCGATACGAAGAATCAAATGACCATTTCCTGTTCCCAAATCTAAAACCCGAAAAGCACCACCTGCTGAAGTCCTTTGTTCGTTCGAAACATAATCTTCTATCCATTGAACTATTCGTTCTTCAGACTCTTCGCCAAACCATATTTCTCCTTCATCTTGAAACTCTTTGAAATTCGATACTTCTAACTCATACATAGAGTCCCAACTAAACCAACATTGTTAGCAAGAGGAAGTTTTCAGTTAAAGAACTTTTCAAACATACTGAGCCTTTGTTCCTAATCTAGACTCTGGTAATCCACTCATTTTTATAAAATTATCGTTCTATTCCAAGAATCGTATTTTCCCAAGTTTCTTCCACGCGACGCAAAAAGCTAAAATCGTTTTAATTTCACAATCAACCTACTTTTATAGATTTTCCTTTCAACTTGACACTGAAAATCCTATATTTCAGTACTTTTCTACAAAGACCTTCGACATGAGTCGTGGTTACTCTTATTCTCTACTGGGAAGAACACGACCCTTAGTAGAAACATAGATATGTCTACTCGCAATAATCACACCCTCCATACCTATAAAAATTTGTTTTTCTTATCGTATAACTACCATCTAGTTTATTTACTTATTTATTCACCGAAATCTCTTTTCTCTTCTCTGTACACCAATGTCGCTTACCAACTTGATACCGGACTTGCTCGTAAACTCCACTCCACCTTCGTTTTCATCCTCTGACACTTGGAAGTTCTCTCTGAAAACTTTCTCATTCCTCCGGAACAAAACTTCCCATCCCGTCAACACTTATACGACTGATCCAAACAAAAGCTTCACATCCTACTTACTCATTCAAATCCTCAAGCTTAACTAATCCAGCAACAAATGAGGTCAACGTTCACTATTCCCACTACCCAAAGACTACATTCTTCTACACAAATTACTAATCTCTTGAGCTGATTAAAACCGAATTCAATTACCAGTACAATTAACCTGAATCATAGATATTCAAGTGAAATTATATTCTAAATCTTAAAGGTTTGAGTACGTAATCCCTAGAAAACACCTTCTACCCAGTACCTTTTTAAATATCATGCTTTCAGATGCCAAGTTTAGGAAAGTAAATCTAACAATCAAGTTACAATTTACTTCTTACCACCAGCCTTTTGGGCAGCCTTGGTAACCTTAGCTTGACCAGGGGCAGTCTTTTCGACGGCCTTGATGACACCGACAGCGACGGTTTGACGCATGTCACGGACGGCGAAACGGCCAAGAGGAGCGTAGTCAGTGAAAGCTTCAACGCACATAGGCTTAGTAGGAACCATTTGAGCGATGCAAGCATCACCGGACTTGACGAACTTGGGAGATTCTTCAAGCTTCTTACCGGTACGACGGTCAATCTTCTCAATGAGCTCATTGAAGCGGCAAGCAATGTGAGAAGTGTGGCAGTCCAAAACAGGAGAGTAACCAGCAGAAATTTGACCGGGGTGGTTAAGAATGATGACTTGAGCGGTGAAGTTAGCACAGCCCATAGGGGGGTCATTCTTAGAGTCACCAGCAACGTTACCACGACGGATGTCCTTGACGGAAACGTTCTTGACGTTGAAACCAACGTTGTCACCGGGGAGACCAGCTTCAAGAGATTCGTGGTGCATTTCGACGGACTTAACCTCAGTGGTGACACCAGAAGGAGCGAAGGTGACAATCATACCGGGCTTGATAGTACCGGTTTCGACACGACCGACGGGGACTGTGCCAATACCACCGATCTTGTAGACATCTTGAAGAGGAAGACGGAGGGGCTTCTCGACGGGACGTGCAGGGGGCTCGATGGCGTCAATGGCTTCCAAAAGAGTCTTACCCTTGACGACACCAGCCTTAGTCTCCTTTTGCCAGCCTTGGTACCAGGTCATGTTGGTGGTAGGCTCAATCATGTTATCACCTTGGAAACCAGAGACGGGGACGAA